GTGAAAGTTATAAACTTCCACTGTTATTTCTCAATCATTCATAAGCATTAATTATTGTTGATTAATGCATTGCACTCTCTTAAAGAACTGACTATAGGGGATGAAACTGACAACAGCAACCTGAAACACTGGCTAGGAAGCTTAGGGAACAGAGTGTCTATGTTAATGTGGGGAGCAATTAGGAAAAGAAGGGTAAAAATGTACAACTCAAAGAATGTACTTATGTCAGAGACCTGTACCTGAAGAAATTGTTGAATTAATGTGTGTGTTGTGCCTATTGTCAACAACAAACAAAATAAATTAGTAAAACAGAAAAAATATCAGAAAACAGCACTTATGCTTATATATGCATAGAGTTTATCTGGAAGGCAGCAGACACAGTATTTATCTCTGGATCAAGTCACAAGGCCAAAGGTAGTGGTGAAACTTCCTTCTTGAGTGTGATAGCATGTGAATAGTTCCTTTTCAAGAAAATTACTCAAAGGCAAAAGAAATCCTTTAGAATCACAGTTGTTATTAGCTGACATGTTATCCCATGCAAACCCCAAGCACAGCAGAACAAAACGCTGCCCAGTTCCACACCATCCTGCACGACTGTTGTAATCCATAGGCTTTTCATTGTCTTGTTTTCTGAAGTAGATCACCGGGCCTTTCTTCCTCGTCTCTTTTTGTCTCGAGGCTCTTATCTGTATACAAGCCTCCCCTGACGATTGGGTGGTGGCTATACATGAGGTGTGTGGACCAGATTCAGGCCGTAGGCTCCTGTGTGGACAGAAGAAGTGTTACCACTGAGTCACAGCATCTGTTGCCATGGAGTAGATTCCAACACCGAGATGAGCTCCAGGACAGAGTAGAACAGCCCTTGTCGTGTTCCCAGTGTTATAATCTGGACAGATTACAGATTGGAATGCCCTTCTCTCTCAGAGTGCCTGGTGAGTTTGAATGGTCAGTTTTTCCGTTATCAACCAAGAACTTAGCCACTGTACCAATAGAACCCTGTTTCAAGTCAACAAACTCAACTCATTGCTTTTGAGCCAGAACTAACTCATATGTGATCCTCTGTTGAGTTTCTGAGGCTATCAATCACACAGGAGTAGATTGCCCACCTTTCTCTCACAGGAAGCTGCTGCTGGTGGATTTGAACCACCAGAGAGGTGTCACCTTTGGGCTGGCAGAGCAACCCCCTGAGCTCCCTGGACTCCTTGCAAAGAGATAGAAATAGACACCGCCACCCGGCACCCCCAAAATATACTTCAATAACAAATCTATTGTCATCCTGTTGATTATGACTCTTCTAGAAATTCCTAATAGGATCACCTAGTTCAAATTTTTAATTGTACAGATAAAAACAGTAAGCCAATAAGGGCTGATTTATCCAAATCCCCACATCTACTATCTGGTAGGTCTGTGACTAGAAACTACATCTATCGTTTGGCACATCTGTTGATAGGCTTTGAGGAAATGTCACTTCCCAAATCTTCTGTATCAGAATGATGATAAAGTTTGCTGCACAGACAGCAGCATTGTAAATTAGGAGAAGACCTTTTGAGGCTCAATTTCTTCATCTGTGAAATGTGTGTGATAAAGTTATGGTGAGATTAAGTTAGATAATGCATGTTTATGTCAGAACACATGGAGCTTTTAGCAAATGCCAATTGTTATTTATGGTTTTGTGGCTGTGATGGGGTTGGTTGGTGGAGGGAGTTTTGAGGATGAGGTTTTAGGAGACCCTGGAGGTGGGAGCTTGCAGGTTTAAGGAAAGTAAGAGTGAAAAATAGTCCTTGATCTAAATTGCATTCATTCAAATAGCCACTAGAAAAATAAAATAATGCTTAGGATTGAAAACATATGTGAAGATGTTTGAGAGGGTATTGTAGAGAGAACTTCTGGCACTTTTCACTCTGCAATGTCATAAAAGCCACCTATAACCAGCATTGTTTCTCATGCCAAAAAATACATGTATACAACCGAGGCTTTTAGAGGTCTCACTTTTACTCTCAGTTATCAGAAAGTCCACATTATGCTTGTTTTCTACTTTCTTTATTTTTCTCTCTTTGAATCCTCTGGTGCCACAGGTCAAGTGATGACTCGGAGCTCTAAGAGTTCTACTGGAAACTTCCTTCAACTTTGTTGCGAAGTGCTGAAAAGATCCTCTTATCTGGGCGGAGTTTTTCCCAGTGAAAGCCTGAGCGGAAGCTTTCGAACAGCATCTTGCCCTGCAAAGTTGAGGTTTCTAGGAATCTTTCCCCGCCCCTTACTCTTGTGGGAAGACGACCTCCTGGTGTAAACACAGGCAGCTCTGGGGGCCTGTAGGGAGGGGGCTGTGCAGCTGACTCTAAGGCAGGCTGTTCTAAACCAGCAGGGGAAAACGATGAGCAATCCCCTTCCTTCCATGCGATTTACAGCTTCTGAAAACCCGCTGGAGGGTCAACTGTGCCTCAATTCACATACACAGCAGCGCACACACACACTGCAAGCCCAGGGACAAGGACATAAAGCTCCCCTTCTTGTTGACCGCTTTGTGGGCAAACTTCATCATCTGGAACCATCACATCCCTCCTTGATTGAAAATTACAAGCAGACTCTGCCTTTAGTCCTCCGACGTTTATCCCAGCACCTCTTTGTTCCATCATGTTAGCTCTGTGATCATGGATGGGTTTTACCTCTTGTCCAGTTTCCCCATTGGAAAAAGATGATGAGGAAAGAAAGGATAATGCAGGTAAAAGTCAGAGCACAGAGGCTGGCCCTTCGTTGTTCTTTATAATGATTAGCCTGAAATAGTAGCAGCAGCTACAGTGGTACTAGAAGTTCACAACAGAATTAAGATGGGTCTGAGTATTTGAGAAAGATTCATAACCACTGGTCCCCAGGATTAAGGATGACTGCCACCACAATACCGGGCAGTGGTAGCTCAGTGGTTAATTTGTGCTTCAGTTTAGGACACTTGGCTAGCCAGTGCATTTCACATGCAGCCCCAACCATATGGCATGTTGCTATGATGTAGAACACATTTCAGCATTTCCAGACTGAGACAGATTAGGAAGGAAGGCTTGGTGACATACTCCTGTAAGCATCAGCCAATGAAAAGAACTTAGCAAAATGGTCCAATGCTGTTGTGAGGAGATCTCCATGAGTTGGAGGCTGACTTAACAGCAGGTAAGAATAACAACTGCACTTGGAAATGCTCCGTCCTTCCCCTGCCACATGCGTGCGGTCATCAGTGGCACGGCTTATCAGTGGAGAATGTGGGTTGATCATGCTAATTCTGAATCTGTTGTTGTTAGACGCCGTTGAGTCAAGTTCGACTCATAGCAACTCTATGAACAGTAGATCTGAACCCTGTCCTATTCTTTGGCGTTCTCACAATCTCTGACATACTTGAGCCCATTGCTATAGTCACTCTGTCAATTCATCTGGTCGAGAGTCTTCCTTTCCCTTCACCCAACTTTTCTATTACTTCTTATTTCCCTCTCCCTCGCTTTTCATCTGTTAACTCTCCAAGATTGAGTCTATCTATGTGTAAACCTTTTCTTTGCTTTTTCTTTTCATTGTCTTACACATTATTGTCCTTTTGTGACTGAATTATGCCACTCAGCATAATTTGCTCTAGATTCATGCACCTTATACAGTATTATACATGATACTTTGGGCCCATTAAGGAGATCTGATGATGCAGTCTGCAGAGAGTTGCTCTGCAAACCCAAACTGAATCTACTTATGGTTTCACAGGGTGGAAGCTCACTGGAGGACCAGCCATGAGTTAGTTCTGACTTGATAGCCATGCACTATTTTTTTCTTTTTTATCCCCATTTAAAATGGTAGGCAACATTAAATACAGCCTATTAGAGATTAACCTTCAGCTTGTCCTCTAGTAACTACTGCAAAATCAGGTTAAGGAAAGGTTTCTCAAACAGTTTTCATAGTTGTTGCTGTTAGGTGCCATTAGGTTGAGTATGACTCATAATGACCCTATGAACAGCTAGCCTGACCCCTGCCCTATCTGGTGTCATCCTCATCATCTCTTGCACCCTACAGCCCATTGCTTAAGTCACAGTGTCAATCCATCTCATTGAGCATCTTCCTTTCCTTCGCTGACCCTCCATCTTTCCAAGCATGATGTGTCCATTTCCAAGAAATAGCTTCACCTAGCTACATGTTCAAAGTATGAAAGTAATACTTCCTTATTCTGTGATGAGCCATGAGATGATCTTTCAGTGCAACCTGACTTCGGAAATAATTAACTTGCTTGTATCTTGTTAGGAAAAGCTCTAAGCATGCATCTTGTTAAGTGAAAATATAGGTACAGGTCTCTGAAGGAACTTCCTCCAGATCATTTGACTTCACAAATGTGATACACATATTATTTTACTTTTTAATCTCACAGGATTTCTGTCCTATTATTTCAGTGGCCGATTCAGTTCTGCAAAGAGTGTGAGTTCTGACACAGCGATCAAACAATTCACCCCAGATTCAAAGGGTTCCTTCCCATCAATGAGAATGTTTTAATAAAAAAAAAAATAAGTGGGTCACTGAATGCATTGCAGCATATTGAAATGTGTTATGTGGCAGGTGCTTAAATTTCAGTAAATATGAATTTAAACTTATTCTGAAATTTTATTAAGGCATCTTGACATCTTTTTAACAGGAGATTTCCTGGAATATCCTCCAAATTAGCTTAGGCAATCACTCTTGACATGACTAAGCTTCCCCATGCAAATTGCTTAAGCATGCCTGAAGGGTCTGGTCAAGGGTGAACTGCCTGCATTTGTGAGAGCTTTGTCTCTGGGCTCTGATTCCATATTCAATGCACTCTTTACTTGAGCTCCATTTATGGTACATCAATACTGTGTGTCACACTGAACTGCAAAGCTACGTACAGTGGACGTACAGTGGATCCAGTTTCTCACTGCATGCACCTTGGGCAAATTTGACAATCACTGACAGTAGAGCATGCTGGCATTGTCTCCATGGCAATCTCAATTTTCTGTGTGTTCCTACAGATTATTTTGAGGACTCAGAACTGTCAGCAGATGGACCAAGGGCAGAAGATAAAGAAGTTGAACAGAGTGTTTCAAATGTATTTACTGCAGTGAACATAGAAACCTTCCCTGCAGTGACCACAGAAACATTCACTGCAGATACGAATTCTACCCTTATTGCTTATGAGGAGTCAAGCCAGTTAGAATTTGTATCAATGGTAATGATCCCATTGATTTTATTGGGCCTTCTACTTTTATCAGTAGTATTCATTGGAATATACTACAAAAGAAAGAGAGCAAAGCAAGGTAAATATGTGGTATGGCCCCATTTCCAGATAATTACTTCAGGTGTTTATGAATTATCAGTAAACACGGCCCTTTTTGCTTCTACGCAGAGCCTTCTAGTCAAGGATCTCAGAGCGCTCTACAGACATGTGAGTATTGTCGAAAATTTGTCTGGGCTTGGGGGTGGGATAAGAGAAAGACCTGAAAGGCTTTTAGAACTAAAGAATGTTGTTGTTGTTGTTATTGTTGTTGTTATGTGCCATCGAGTTGCTTGCGACTCATAACGACCCTATGTACAACAGCCCTAAACTCTGCTCTGTCCTGTGCCAATCGCACTGTCTCCAATACACCCATCCCAGTTACCCAGTCACTGAATCAATCCACCTCATAGAGGGCCTTCTCCTCCTGCGCTGTCCCTCCACCCTCCCAAGCATGATGTCCCTCTCCAAGGACTGGTCTCTCCTTACAACATGTCCAAAGTATGTTAGCCGGAGCCTCAGAATCCTTGCCTCCAGGGAGCTGCCTGGTTTAATCCTCTCAAAGATGAATCTGCTTGTTTTCTTGGCAGTCCATGGTATATTCAATACTCTTCTCCAGCACCACAGCTCAAATGCATAAATTCTCCTTCTATCCTCCTTAGTCGCTTGTCCAACTCTCTGATGCATAACAAGTGATTGTAAAGACCATGGCCTGTATCAAATGCACCGTAGTCTCCAGAGTGACACCATTGCTCTTCAGTACTTTGGAGAGGACCCTAACAGCAGACTTTCCCATTGCAATGCGTTTTTTAATTTCCTGGCTACTGGTGCCAAGAGTGTTGACTGTGGAGCCAAGCAGACTAAAGTTGTTAACAATCTCAATCTCTTCACCATCCATCCTGATGCTGCCAATTGGCCCAGCGGTGAGAATCTTTGTCTTCTTGACCCTGAGCCTCAATCCATATTGAAAGCTGTAGTCCTTGACCCTCTGCAGCAAGTGCATGAGGTCCTCCTCAGTTTCAGCAAGCAGGGTTGTGTCATCTGAATAACGCAGATTGTTAATAGATCTTCCACCAATCCTGATGCCACACTTCTCCTCATAGAGCCCAGCTTCCTGGATAATCTGTTCTGCATACAGGTTGAAAAGGTATAGAGACAGGGCACATCTCTGGCATACACCTTCCCAATGCTGAGTCAAAATAGTCAAAGATAAATTGTATTTTCCACTTAATTTTTCTAGCACTTACTAGTGTTATATTTCAGTTTAAAAATGTGCTGTCAGCCTAAGCTGAAATTGAAAAGACACTGGTGTCATGTGTATGAGTCTCTGGGTGGCATAAATGGCTACGTGTTGGTTCTTTGAACTCCACTTGAATATCCTGAGGAACACTTCTCCTCTACACACATGGCGTCATCATGAGTCAACCGTGTGGCAACTCCCAACAAGAATCATCTTTGTGCATGATGCAGATAAGGGCTCTCCATAAGCTTGGCTGGTCCAGGTCAACTTTCCCTGCTGGAAGGAAGGCTACACTGGTGAAACGGTGGACTAGCTTCGGGATATGTAGGAATGGGGAGAACCTGGCGGGTCATCCTCACAAGAGGAGGAGTTTTCCATTCACGTATCTATCACAGGGATTGCTTTGTTTCTCCTCCGTCTCCCCCTGACACTTTGATCGTGAAAAAATCTGGTGGTGCCGTGGTCCTTGTTCTCATTAAAGACATGACCCTGGAGACTTCTGATTAGTAGCCTTTTGCACCATGGACATCACTAGCAGTCTGCTTTTGTTTTTCTTCCTTTCTTCCTTCATTACTTCCTTCCCTTCCTCACTCCCTTCCTTTTTTCAACTGGTTGAAATGAATTGAATTTTGAAGATTACTAGGGAGTTCTGATGGCTTAATGACAGAGTCAGACTTCCAAAGACTCAAAGGCAGGCAGTTTGAATCCACTACAGCTCCACAGGAGAAAGACGGACAATCTCCTCCTGTGGGATTTATAGCCTCTAAAAACCTGCTGTAGGGTCAGCTTTGGAGGGTCAATCGATTCTAATTTGACAACACATAATGTGAAAGAGTAGATAGATAATGAAAACTGCTTTGGATCAGATTATGGAAAGAACTGTCTGAAAGGAATATATGGTTAAGCATTATATGTATGAGAATAATCTGTAACAAGGGATATGGCAGAGAGGGCTGGGGGTGGGGAGAGAAAAATGTGCAACAATGAAATATTTTTGATGTTTAAAAAACCAACAACAATATTAATCTAAAGGAAAGTCTCCTAAGTCAGAGGAACACTCAGAAAGCATTCCAAAATGATTTTGGGATTATAATCCTGTAATTTCAGATTTCAGAGTTATTCTAGATCCCAGAGAGATTTAGTGGCAAAGTCCACAATGAATTGTGCTGCTAACCCAAGAACTGGTTGATTCAAAAGCTACAGGGATTCAAAGCTGCAGGGGCTTCTTAGAAGAAAGTTGTCTCCTCTCATTGCAATTCAAAATTTCAAAAATCTGAAAAATATGAAGGGAGGTTGCTATGTATGGAACTGACTGGACAGCAGTGAATTTTGTTTAGCTTTAGGGAGCTCTGGTGGCCTAATGGATAAGGAGTTCCACTGTCAACACAAAGGCACACAGTTTGGGTCCACCAGCTGCTCCGAGGGAGATATAGGCAATCTTCTCCCTAAAGATCTCACATGAGATTTACAGCCTCTAAAAATCACCTTTGAGTTAGTTCTGACTTGAGGGCACATAACAAAAGCAACACAGAGTTCGAAGGGAACTCTGATGGCTTAGTTGGTAGGAACTTCCATTGTCAACCCAAAGTTGGATGGTCCAAATCCACCAACAGTTTTGCAGGAAAAAATGGGCAATCTCCTCCCATGTGATGGGCCCATTGGTTCAGACATGTTGACAATGAGTTAGGTGAGTGAGGGCGCTCTGATGCCCTAATGGGTAAGAAGTTGCACTGCCAGTCCAAAGGTTCGAACCCACCACCTGCTCTGAGGGGAAAAGATAGGCAATCTCCTCCAATATGATTTACAACCTCTGAAAATCTACTCTATGACATCTAAAACCATCAACAATAGCAGATCCACAGCAGGCTTGGATGCTTTTGACCTGTGTTGGTAAAGAGACTCCAGTTTTCAGATTTCTAAGTGGAAGACTTTAAAATAATTTTTAAAAAAATTCTCGTGTAATTTAAAGTCTTTTCTAATAAGACAATAATAATACACTGCTTATAAGACTCACCCCACAGCCCTTACACCCACTAATGGGGCATACCTGGCTTTATGCTTTGGCCTGGGTACTTAACTTGCTGTCTTAACACTGGGAGAGAGAGTTTCTCAGGATGGGTTGTTAATGGTCATTTGCGATGTGTCAGCAGATAGGGAGTCGTTGTCCCCAGGAGAAAGGAGCTGGGAAGAAGCACAGAGGCGCACTTCCTTCTGTGAAAGGAACTGACATGATTGATGTAAGATAATAATAGTAAATTCACATGCTTCTCCAAAGCTCGAAAACTTAAGTGACTTCATAACAGTGGGCAAGTGCAAAGCCTTCTTCTAAGCGAAAGAAAAACAAAGGCAAACAGAATAGTCCACAACTCCTTTTTTTTTTTTTAACCTCATGGAAAGTAAGCACTTGCTGCCCAAAACCAAAGCTCCTCAGCCAGTCTTGCCTAACTGGTTACGTGTAGGGTGCTGGGAACACCTCGTCAAATGGCCATGCCCTTAATCCAGAAAACAGTTTGTGTTAAGCTTTCCTGTCACAGATCGAAAGTCATAGTTGAGCCTCGGAGAAAGGGCCTCTCCTCCTCAGACACAGTTCAGGCATCCTACACCACAGGAGAAATGTCTGCTATTTCAGGCACAGGTAATGAAGGGACCCTGGGGGGACTCAGCTGCTACACAAAAGGCCAGTAGTTCAAACCTACCAACAACTCTGCAGAAGATGTTGTTGTAAGGCAGTCTATTCTCTATAAAGATTTACAACCTTTGAAAAACTTTGCCTTTTCCTATAGGGTCTCTGAGTTGTAACTAACTCCACATCAGTGGCTTTTGGGTAGATGTTGTTAAGTGTTGTTGAGTTACTTGCGACTCAGAGTGACCCTATGTGCAACAGCCCTGAACCCTGATCTATGTTGAGCCAATTTCATTGTCTCTGACACACCGACCCCCATTGCTCCAGGCAGAGAATCGTCGAAGGTCTTCCTCTCCTGCACTGTCCCTCCACCATTCCAAGCATGATGTCCCTCTCCAAGGACTCCTTACAACATGTCTAAAGTATGTCAGACAAAGCTTCAGAATCCTTGCCTCCAAGGAGCAGCCTGGTTTCACCCTCTCCAGGACAGACCTGTTTGTTCTCCTAACAGTCGATGACATATTCATTACCCCGGCACCACAGCTCAAAGGCATCAATTCTCCTTCTATCATCCTTAGTCATTGTCCAGCTCTCTCATGCATAGTGAGTAGTTGTCAAGACCATGGCCTGGATCAGGCGCACCTGCATGTATTGCATTTTCATGGTGCTTCAATACCTTGTTGATGTTTATCCTGCTCCTTGCAATTTCTTTCTTGTCTGTTGGAAAACGTCCACCCCACTCTTTAGTGTCCAGTTCCAAAGTTTTCATGAAGTCCTATGGCCTCAGTCCCCAAGTAAAATTGATGTCCACCTCTTCTGAGATCCCCTAGCACTTTGATAATTCGTTCAGACTTACTTTTCACAACATATACACAGTTGTAAGTTGTTTACTTCTCTTTCTTGTCTATGTTTTAAGGACCAAGATCCTCTTATTTGCCCTATTAACAATATGTTATTAAGGGTAAGAGCCCAGGTTCTAAAACCATCATGCCTCATTGACTTTTCACATCTTAGCTATCATGAATTCTCTGTTTTGGCATCTGTAAAATGGGGACAATTCAATACTCACCTTGTGAGAATTAAATGTGGGAAACATTGTCAATAAAAAGCACCTGGTGCTCAGTAAGTGTTGTTTATAATTATTATCCCTTTTAATATAATGCTTAACCCAACACATATAGTAGCTGTTGAGCAAATGCATGTTGAATGACTGAGTCACTAAAAAATGCTGGAAAAAATCCTCAGTGGGTTAAAAATGAAAGTTTGTCCATTCTCTATAATATAACCCGGCACATTACTTTTTGTTTA